ATAATATTATATCATTTTTAAAGTTGTTAATATTTATTATTTTTAAGCTAAACATGTATAATAATATCGATATAATAAATAAAAAATGTTATTCATTGTTCAAAAACGATTTCTTTTCATACTTCTCAATACAGTTGTAATACATTCTATATAAAATCAATGATAAGAGTATACAAAAAGCACAAGAACGATTTCTCATAATTTGAGTAAATTTAGTTTACAAATTGCTCAAATTATTTTCACTGTGAGTGAAAAGATAACTAAGGCAACAGTTCCTACTTCTAATTATTAAAATATATAAAGAACTCTCAAACGAATATACCATTTAACTTTGCGAGAGTATAAAATGTTCAGTTAGATCCGAACTTAGCCCTTCCTTACTTGTTAAATATCAATACATTTTATACTTATATCTTGAATTGCATACAACCTATCCCGGTATGTTTCACCAAAAGCTAATTAATTAAGTTTATTTCACGAACTAACAAAAGTGTTTACGTTTTTGTTTACAATTTACATGCTGTTTTATGCTTTTCTTCTCATTCCAAAAGAATTACGTCCCATGATGGCGGTATAGTGCAATTTGTTTTATTAACAATTGTCACAGCCTAAACCGAAAAAAGTAACAGTAAATACTTGCCGTAATCTTGTATTCAATCATTCTTATTTCAAGAGTACAAAGAGACACTAGTTTTTCGAAACGCTGAAGTTGTTGAAACGCAGGAATAGAAATTAAAATGGAATATACATATGTACATATGTAGTTCCAACTTGCTTATTTCTCGAGGAATTCTAAGGAAGTTAAAAGTTTATTGTGAAATTTTGATATTCTAATATTACTTAAATCGTACTTTCGATTGTATATTTATGATGTTGGGCGTACCTGTGAGGAACTTCCATTATTGTAAATATCGATGCTATTGTTATAGTCAGTCTGTGCAATGTAAAGAGAATGGATTTAGGTTAAGCATTAATAAATATATGAAACCACAATTAGTTATCTTTCAATTCTGTATTTTGGAAGCATAAGAAAATTTAAAACATAAGATCCTTATTTTAAAGTAATCATTAGTTTTATATTTGTTTTTATATGTTCAAAGATAATTAAATAAACCTTACCTGTAATGTTGTACAATATGAACTGAAGTTATTGCTGCAAGTAACATTCATATATGGTCCACTAAAGATGTGATTGTTAGGTTCATTACTATTAACTTTCGATTCATGGTTTTTTATATCGCAAGGATGATAGGTTTTTTTAAATACATTCGTTGCTTTTCTTAATTCACTATAAGATGAACTAACAGGACTAGGAGGTGGCTGCATTTCCTCCGGATGGTGGTTTGAACACTCGCTCAATTCGTCGATGGAAAGTTCATGTGGTGGGGGTACATCGACCACATAGTCTGTACAGATACATAAAAAATTAGAGCCATGTATTGATTAGAAGCTTACACACGTATATTTAATATTAACTATTAATGCCATACATATTAATTAACTTAAAAGATAATTATGTATGTAATATAAAGTTAACCAAAGGGGCTAAATTTAATACATTCGATATATGAGGAAAAAGGCAACCAAATAATCAGAAGTGATATAAGGTTTAGGCCAAAGGCTGCTATACTTTGTTTAACATGTTGCCAGAGTATATAAATTAGATTATAGGCGTGTTTTATTTGACCAGCACTTTAAGTTATTAGCTTACTTACAGCTCTTCGTCTCATCGACTGCGGTATTCGGCGTTGCCAATGCTCAAAGGACAATAAATCTTCCACAAAATCTTTCTCTCCATAACTCCTAACGCCGACTTATCAGATGTTGTCTCTGTCCACGCCTCCGCGCCATATAAACTAGGTGGCAATGATGAGGGACTTGTAGAGTTTGATCTTTGTCCGTCGAGAGAGGACTTCACATTTCAAATGCCTACTCAGGCAAGAGTGATAGTACGTTGGTGTTAATGGTGATTCCAAGATAGGCGAAATCTATCTACGACTTGTAAGTTATGACTGTGAACAGTGACTTGTGAGCCAAGTCGCGAAAGCGATGACTGTTTGCTTGATGACAGGAGACATTTCGTTTTGTCCTCGTTCACAGTAAGACCCATACGCTTCGCTTCCTTATCTAATCTGGAAAAAGCAAAATGGCATACGCCAGCAGCTGTAC